CTCCAGCCAGGCCCTCCCCGCCGGGCGCCGGGCTGTTTCCTGAGCCGCCATATGCCGGGCTCGCCGGGCTCTTCATCAGGGCGGCTGGAGCCAGAGGTTTTCCCAAAATATCAGTGCTGCTGTCGTGCTGCAGCGCCCGCCCAGCGCAGAAGGGTGCTGTGGTGTCCCCGGGCTCCGGCGGTGCCCATCCTGCCCGGCAGCACCCTGCCCTGCGGGCTCCTCTCCCCCGTCTGGCGCAGGCGATGGCATCCGGGCGGTGCCAGGTCCGTGTCCTCCTCCAAGCCAGGGCTGGTTCTGGCAGGATTTGGGCGCTGCCGTGGTTCCGGTGACAACTCCTGCAGAGCCCAGCCAGCACGCCGTGCGTCACTTTGTGCTTCGGGTCCCTGTGGGGCACAGGGAAGCCTCCGCTCCCCCCAGGGGACGGCACCCAGGCTCGGTGCTGCTGGGGGTCCCGGCGGGGGGGGTGTTCAGCCCTGCTGCAGGGTGGTGGGATGGAGCTGGTGGCCAGGCTGGCAACCCGGAGCAACGGCGTCTCCTCCCTGCAGCCCTGCAGCAGCACGGCCCCTTCTCGTGGTTTGCTTTTTTCCAGCACTCAGCACTTCATAAAAGCATCTGATGCGACCACAGAGCGATCTCCAGCCCCATCCCAGCGCCGCAGCCGCCGGCGCCGGCCCAGGGGGAAGGGGAGCATCTAAATACGGCAGCGCCCTGATGCGCAAGACCTGGACGGGAGGTTTTGGCTGATGCCCGGGTGTGACGAGCACGTCCCAGCCTGGCAGTGACTCCTTCCCCACCTGCACTGCGGGGCCCCGAGCACATCCCGGCTCGTGGACACGGGCACCTCCAAACTACAACCGGGAAACTTGTACAAGTCTGATCTGATACCAGGCAAAGTGATCTGCTCTTCCCCAGCCAGGGACGCCAGTGTAATGAGTAGAGATCCCTGCCGGGGGGGGCCCAGCCAAGATGTGACAGCGAATTGTCCCTCGAGGGGTCGTCCTGGGGCTCCCCAAGCTCAATATTCCCAACGGGGCCCTTGTGGAAGAGGGATGCAGCTGCCACAGAGCTGGGGAGGCTGTCAGCACCTGCGGGGAAGGGGGGGTGACTTTGGGGATGAAATTTCATAAAGCCAAGAGCAAGGTCGTGCCCTCTGGGAGCAACCCAGAGAGTTGGAGCTGGAAACACCCTGAGAAATGGGACCAGGGAGGCGGACTGGGGGGTGGGAGCCACCGTGCCACGGGGACCAGGTCACATCCTGGCCCTTTGCTTTTGACAGGGATGAGCTGCAGCTGCACCGTGGGCAAGTCTGGGCTACAGAGGCATCAGGCCTTCACCTGGGAGGGGATTTGGGGCCACTGGGCTGGCTCAGCCCTGCGGGAGCAAGCTGGGAGCAAGCTGGGAGCAAGCTGGGAGCAAGCTGGGCCGATCACCCAGGCCGGTGCTAGAGGATGCTGTGCGCAGGGAGCGAGCAGGTACCTGTCTGAGATCGGGGTGGGATTTCTGCTCTTCCCCAGCTCTGGAACAGGGAGTTTCTGTGCAGAGTCTGCAGGAGGCAGGGGAGGAGAAGGAAAATGGAAGAGAAACCTGAAGGGGTTAGTTTGGCCCTGGCAGGGCACTGTGGGGCGAGCGGCGCTGCCCCGGGGCCCTGTGGGCCAGACCCAGATCAGAGGGGCTGGTCTGATCCCAAGGCACGAGGAGGTTTAATGTGTCTCCTCGGGAGCAATTGCAGCAGGGAGAGGGAGATGCTGTCATGAAAACACTCCTCGTCGCCTGGGGCCGTTAACCTGCCTGTTCGGCTTAAGCAGCTCGCTGGGGCAGCAAGGATGAGCTGCCCCGGCTCCGGTTACCGCCGCCTGTCCCAGAGCTGACACTTGAGCCGGGGTGAAGGTGACCGGGGACGGTGGCAGCCAGGAGCACGGTGTCACCGAGCACTCGGGGAAGCGTGTCCTGACCCCCCGAGCGGGGACAAACTGTGGCGTGTCCCCGTGCTGCAGGCAGGAGGGTGCCGTCCTGGTTTGTGCAAGTTTTGGAGATGCTGGAGGAGTCCTTGGGCTCGTTCCAGCTCCTCCTTCGCCAGGAGTTATTTTTACCCTCTCTCAGGTAAAGCTTTGGCGGGGGAGAGGGATGGGGGATGCTATAATTAGCCGTGACATCAGCCCCCGTGGCGGCGCGTGCTGGGATGATGCCACCACACCCCGACCCACCGCTGGGCACCCGGGATGCTCGCTGCCCTCCTCCCCGCCGCAGCGAGGGACGCGACACGGTGGAAGGAGCCTCGACTTTTCCCGGCTCCCGCGTTAAGTGTTTGGTCACCGTCCCGTGGCGGTTCGGCCCCGCTCGCTGCTCTGCAGCTCCTCACGGGCCCGGGAAAGGAGGTTCCCCGGAGCGGGGGAGCACGGAGGCGGCGGGGTTTGGGGG